AGTCCTATGAAACATAGACTCATTTTTTGGTCCTATTTGTGCACACTAAACTTGTTTTAGTCCTATATGGATAATTAACTCTTATTAAAAATAAATTACAAAGATTTGTATGACATCTTTAATGTTTTTTATATCACAATGTATGTCTTTGATTCACAAAGTATTGTTCTTATATCTTAAAGTTTTAATTAAATACATATATATATCCTAAATAAATATAATGTTTTAATTTGATTCACCAAGCTCAAATTTATTGAAAATAAATAAGTTACAAAGATTTATATGACATCTTTAATGTTTTTTATATCACAATGTATGTCTTTATCCACAAAGTATTGTTCTTATATCCTAATGTTTTAATTAAATATATATAAATATCCTAAATAAATAAATAAAAATTATATAAAAAATCGCCAAACCGGAACCGGCGGTTTGGAACCGCATTGAACCGCCCCTTCAAGGTTCCGGTTCAGGTTTGAGCATTTGGTGAACCGTGAACCGCCGGTTCGGTTCCGGTTCCAGTTCGGTTCTAAACCGGGGATAGGTCTACCTGTGGGGGTCTCCATTGGCCGCATGAATGTACTATGATGGCCAGCACGTTGTCCGCCCCTGGATTGGAGCTAGTTGATGCTATTAATTTTCATAGGCAGGGCTACTACAATCAGCCGTACAATCAACAAGAATATGGGAACTACGGGAATGGAAACCAGCAACAGTTTAGGAACTACAATCAGCCACGTGCATCAGGCCTCGCCTTAAGAACAACAATTTAATCAACAAAGTCAAAGGAAAGAGGCAGAACATAAGATGCCTGAATGACGGCAAGCCCACATCAGCTTGGAAGAGACACTCAAGAACTTTATGAAAACGACTGCAGCAAGTCTTCAGACCATATAAAATCAACTGGGTCAGCTCGCAAAGGCCCAATCTGAGAGGTCTATGGGATCTCTCCCTAGTAACACTGAGAATAATCCAAGAGTACCAAGGAAGGGAGGTTGAGCCAGTTGCGTCAACGAAGAAACCCGAAGAAGCTAAACTTGCTAAAGCTAGCCAAGAAGAAAAGAAAGAGAAAGAAAAGGATAGAGAGGTGGTGACAACTCCAAAACAGACTGTTCCAGTCCAAGCGTACTGCCCACCTCTCCCCTTCCCGGAACGCTTGAAGAGAAAGAGTGATTGTGCTCAGTTTGATAAGTTTTTGAACCTCATCAAACAAGTTCAAATTAACCTACCATTCATGGAGGCATTATCACAAATGCCCAAATATGGCAAGTTTATGAAGGAAATTCTAGCAAACAAAAAAAGTGGGGGGAACCAGCATCAGTGGTGCTAAATGAGGAGTGTTCGGCAGTGGTGTTGAAAGAGATGCCTAAAAAGCTCAAGGATCCAGGTAAGTTTACTATCCTTTGTTCCATAGAAGATTTGATTTTTATGCAAGCATGGATTTGATGCCTTATTCCTTGTATAAGAAGCTTGCACTAGGTCCACTTAAGTCAACACGTATGTGCATACAATTGGCTGACCGATCAGTCAAATATCCCCAGGGGGATTGCTGAAGAAGTGTTAGTTGAAGTGGACACATTTGTGATCCCTCTTGATTTCGTTATCTTTGATATGCCCCAAGATCTTGAGGTGCCCTTAATTTTTGGAAAGCCTTTTCTAAATTGAGCTCTATTGCCAAATGATCTGTGTTCTTACCTGTGAATAATTCTGACAATATCTTCGTGTTTAGAGTGCTGGGGGATTAATTTGCTAAGATTAGGGTGTTTTTGTAGGAGCCAATTTTGACACTGTTCCTATGCCCCAAATGGAGTAAGAGCAGTCACTTTTTAGGAATTTGATATTTTTGAGGATTGCATTGTAGGCATGAATTCGCCTTTTTAATGAACCTTAATTGTTAATTTTCGTTGGTGAGGTCGAGATTAGAATGGGGTAATTTCTAGTAAAAACAAAGAAATATACGGGAATGTAAAGTACATAAATACCCCTATGCTATTACACCCCCTCAAGCTATACGGGAGAATCAACGCGCAAGTTGTCTTTCAAAAATGAAAAACGTTGACTAGAGAGACTCTTAGTAAAAATATCTGCAAACTAAAGATGAGTAGAAACATATTGAATGACCAAATCACCATGTGCCACTCGTTTTTGAGAAGAGAAATCTCATTTAAAAAATTTTCATGTTCTGTTTTGAAAACAACCTTTTCTGTTTCTAGAGATGTGTGCAAATCCACAATTTCACGGATGATCTTTGGAATGTAAACACGATTTGTTTAAGGATTTTAAAAAACAGACGATTCTTCTCCTGCATACACAGGCTCACCCGCATGACTCTAGATTGAATCATAGTGAGTAGACAAGGGAATTTTCTGTGTTTTCTAACTATTATTCAGATCTGTATAGTCAAAAGAGACTTCAGTCTTGGATTTATGTCTTTTCTCCTGTTCTAAGGCAATGATTTCTAACTTCCCGGTAAATCTAACAAGTTGAATGAGTCCTAAACCCATGTATGTGATATCGTACCATTGACGTGATTTCACTTTCTTAAGATGACATCGGTTTTCAAATCCCAAACCTTGTCTCGGGTCATAGAACTCAGTGTGCTTAGGCTGATTAAGAAATATGGTTTGATATGTTTGGAAACGTCTGGTTAACAAATCTTCCAATTTCTTAATTTTTGAATAAAGTCTCTTGCGTTCCTTGAAAATTTTATCATAAAATGTAGAGAATTTTATTCTTAGTTCCGTGGCCGTCAGTTTCATAGTTAAGTCACGAACCTCAGCTTCTAGACTTTCTACCTTAGAATTTAGATGAGTGTCTTTCTCTTGTGCGTTGGTTAGTTGAGTATTCAGTCTCCCACTTTCCTCTAAGCTGTTCACTAAGCACTTAGAAGTATTTGCTAAGCGTGCTTCTAATTCCTTAACAATTGTACGCTCGATAACAATTAAACTTTTAAAATGTATGGAATTAGAAGTACTTGTCTCACACTCATCACAAGATTCAACGCATTGAATTATAGACGTACAATGATGATGAGATCAAGTGACATCCATTTTGATTGTTGGATATGGATCATTGACATGCATGTGGTGGATTGAATTGTTTGCAAGTTTCAGGACCGTAAGGTCAAGTGCTAACAAGCTTTGAATTGGAAATTTTCTTTCTCTGTCCTTGAGAAGTGTCTGTACGAATATATTTTAATATATGCAAATAACTACTATATATTATCTAGTAAATACATATATTCCATTAATCATGTACACACCGTTTCCTTATTTGTAGGTAGTTCGTTACCTTATTTATATTAGATCAGATTGTATATATGGGATAGATGTATGGATATTGAATGACAGATCAAATTTTCCTCTCATCACAATTCATTCTTTTATTTCGCATATCTCATCTATTATGGTATCAGAGCAGGCGCATTGTCTGTACCTGTGAATTAACGATAGATGACAATGATGACATCTGAAATGATGGCTTTGACAAGGCATAAAGTGGAAGAGGTCAACGAAAAGGGAGATTCCAAGCAACTTCCTACTCTTTCGACAGAGCAATGGAATTCATTTTTGGATTTTATGAAAAAATCCCATTTAGGTGATGGTGTTGGAAAACTAGCACCTATGACGGACTGGATCCTTGACACGGGTGCTTCATATCATATGACGGGTGATAAAACTGTTATTTTTGACATTTCTCCTGTGACCTCTATTCCTGTTACACTTCCAAATGGGAATATTACTTTTGCTAGTCACATTGGCCGAGTGGCATTGGGACCTGGAGTAACAATTGAAGGAGTACTTTTAGTGCCAAAATTGACATGTCACTTAATTTCAGTTGGATGACTTATTGATGATCTGTCGTGTCATGTTATGTTGACTAACAAATTTTGTGTGATACAGGACCTCACTTTGAAGACGCTGATTGGAGTGAGTGAACGTCGTGGTGGGGTTTATTATCTTCGTGGAGTTGAGTCTGTGCGAGCGTCACATGTAGTTAGTGACACAGAAGATTTATGGCAAAAAAGAATGGGTCATCCCTCTTCCCGGGTGATTCGACTACTTTCTATTAGTCAAAATAAAGTTGGTAGTAATGGCGATTCTAATAAAAGTTTTGATATTTGTGCTCGAGCAAAACAGACACGTGAAGTTTTTACTCCTAGCGTAAACCGTGCTTTGCAAATTTTTGAACTTATTCATTGTGATGTGTGGGGCCCATATCGGGAATCTAGTACTTGTGGTGCGTATTATTTTTTGACAATTGTGGATGACTACTCACGTGCTGTTTGGATTCATCTGATGGCTTGAAAAATGGAGGTCCCCATCATTATGAAACGTTTTTTTTCAATGGTTACTAATCAATTTCACACTTCTGTTAAAATTGTGCGGGCTGACAACGGGACCGAATTTTCACCATTAAGGAATTGTTTTCTTGATCATGGAATTCTTTTTCAGACATCGTGTGCTGGGACTCCTCAGCAAAATGGTCGTGTTGAGAGAAAACACCGCCATATTTTAAATGTGGCTCGTGCCTTGCGTTTTCAGGCTAACCTACCTATTCGTTTTTGGGGGAATGTATTTTGACCGCTTGCTATTTGATTAACCACACACCTTCCATGGTAAATAATGGCAAGACACCGTTTGAGTGTTTGTATGGTCGGGTGCCGTCTTATGAGCATATTAAAATGTTTGGTTGTTTAATTTATGCTATGTTCATTCCAAAAATGGTGACAAATTTGACACACGCAGTAAAAAATGTGTGTTTTTGGGATATTCTGATACTCAACGGGGTTGGAAAGTATTGGATTTGGAATCACGTAAACAATTGTCTCCAGGGATGTTCCATTTGAAGAACATATTTTTCCATTTCAAAATTGTGATCCTATTAGTTCAATAAATCAAGATATGCATCTGGCATGGACCCCAGGTCCTATGAAGATGATGCGGCTGATTTTGGTGCCATCGATACATCAGTGACACGGTCCCTTATCCCAGCCGTGACACATACTGATGAGGCTTTATCCATTCCAGATCCTGCTGCCACAACTACTCAGCCATCAGACAACTTGGATGTGCCACCTCCTGCTGATTCATCCACTCATGGCATACTTGACATGCATCATTCACCAGCTGTCTCCACTCCCCTGGGACGAGGCATGCGACGTAAAGTCCCATCCGTGCGGCTCCAGGATTATGTCCACACATATTAACCCCCACGACTTCACTGCTGTCCTCACGTAGTCCTTATCCCTTAACTTGTTATGTAAATTATAACGCTTACTCGTTGCGCCATAAAGCATTTCTTGCAGCTATTTCACATGAGCAGGAACCAATTTCATATCAAGCTGCCGTGCGTGATCCGCGGTGGAGGGAGGCCATGCACTGTGAGATTGATGCTTTGGAGGCAAATAAAACGTGGACCATGGTTGATTTACCCACTCACAAGAAACCTATTTATTGTAAATGAGTTTATAAAATTAAATATAACAGTAATGGTTCTGTTGAACGCTTTAAAGCTCGACTTGTGGTGTGTGGAAATCGACAAGTGGAGGGTATTGATTACCATGAGACTTTTGCTCCTGTTGCCAAAATGACAACTGTACGGACCCTTCTCGCTGTGGCTGCATCCAAAAACTGGGAACTTCACCAAATGGACATTGACAATGCATTCTTGCATGGAAAATTGGATGAAGAGGTCTATATGTTTCCACCCCCCCGGGTTCTCATCTTCTAAGCCTAAACAAGTATGTCGTTTGCAACGCTCTCTCTATGGGCTTAGACAAGCACCTCGGTGTTGGTTCTCCCGGCTTAGTGCTTCTCTTTTATCCTATGGTTTTACCCGTTCCTATGCAGATTATTCGTTATTCACTTTAACCAAAGGCAGTGACTTTGTTTGTATACTTGTTTATGTTGATGACTTGCTGATTGCTGGCAATAATTCCTCTTTTATTGCTACAATTAAGATATACCTTGCTCAGTGTTTCCCTATTAAGGACCTCGGTCATCTCAAATATTTTTTAGGGCTCGAAGTTGCTCGCAGTCCTGATGGTATATTTTTGTGCCAACGGAAATACACTCTAGATCTTCTTGAGGAGCTTGGATTATCCGACAGCAAACCTGCGGACTTTCCAATGGAGCCAAATCACCGATTGGCAGTGACTCAAACTCCTCTTTTCTCATATCCTGACCGCTATAGGCGGGTCATTGGTAAGTTGATCTACTTAACTTTAACACGTCCCGAATTGAGCTATTGTGTTCATATTCTCGCTCAGTTTATGCAATCTCCATGCACCGAACACTGGGAGGCGGTTCTTCGTGTTCTCCGTTATGTTAAAAGTAACCCTGGGCAAGGTATACTGCTTCGGGCCAACTCCGAACTAAATCTTCAAGGCTATTGTGATTCGGATTGGGCTGCATGTCCACTTAGTCGTCGATCTCTCACTGGTTATATTGTTTTGTTGGGTGGTTCTCCCATTTCCTGGAAAACCAAGAAACAACCTACCGTGTCTCGATCATCGGCCGAAGCCGAGTATCGTTCCATGGCTACTGTTGGGTGTGAGCTTATTTGGCTAAAGAGTCTCCTCAACTCTCTTGGTATATTGCACTCTCGTCCGATGGAATTTTTTTGTGATAATCAGGCTGCTCTTCATATTGCCTCTAATCCTATCTTTCATGAACGTACAAAGCATATAGAGATTGACTGTTATTTTATTCGTGATCTTCTTCAAAAAGATGTTATTTCTACACGTCATCTCATTGGTTGTTAACCTTGTGATTTTTTACTTTATGATTTTATTAATTAACTAATTGGTTAGTTAGTTAGTTAATTAATTAATTTAACCACTAGGCTGACTTTTGGAAGCTTTGACTGAAGTGTTGACCTTAGGGTATGGAGTGTGGACCTCAAAATTTGAAATAGATAAAAAAAACTAGCTCTTGAAGAGGGTAGCATAAAAAGTGCACTTTTTCAAGTGAAGGGTGTAAGCTTCTTAACTTTTCTCACACCTAAACTCTAAGGAAGTTTTTGAGTCTATATATATATATAGAAGTAAAAGGAGGAGAGGAACGAAGCTCTCACGCATATTAGATTTCGGCCAGTAGTTCAAAATCGAAAATTCACACCCCCTTATGCGGGCGTTTTGCGGACATGATAGTCGGAAAATTTAGCGTGTTTCAAAAGACCATTTTGTCCTCTCTTCCCTTTTTATTTTATTTTATTCGTAAAAGATAGATCTCTTCCCTTCTTTTTTATACTATACGAAAAAATCATTTTTCACGAAATATCCAATTTTACGAAAAATATCTTTTCACGGGAGTTTTTCACGAAAGGCCTTTTGCGAAGGCGAGTTTCATGACGACCTTTATATCAAGAAGACCTGCTCTGCTACCAATTGATAAACCGGTTGAATCACAAAAGAGGGGGGTGAATTGTGTGTGCGTAGAACTATGACAGTTTTTCGCCAAGTTCTAGTGTGGGGCAAAGGATTACACAAATTAAAGACGCAAGAATTTACGAGGAAAAATCCTTTGGCTAAATAGAGATTAAAAAATCTCATCCTCCCACAGAGGAATTTGAAACAAACAACACTAAAAGCGTTTAAACAAGTTACAAGATAAACACTCCTAAGTAAAGTTTTCACTACTTTACCTTGTGGGTAAGAAGTATCTCAGCTTTACAACAAAGCCTGCACTGTAGGATTTCTGCAGCTTGTGTGAACAATGCCCAGATTCAACAGTCGAATAATTCTAAGAATAATAGACAGAATTTAAGCAGTAGAAGAAAAATTCAACATCAACTAACACTCAACTGTACTGCACCATAATGCTCTGTAATCGGACACCCTCAACTGTACTGCACCATAATGCTCTGTTTGGATAAAGTGAACTTAAGTAAACCTACTGCAATAAAGTAAACCTAAGTGAACCTTGAAAATAAATAAGGTGAACCTAGGTTAATGTAATAAATGGTGTTTGGATGAATGTAGGTTAGCTTATTTTATGTTGAATGTGAACTTAACCTCCAAAACCCTCCACTTTGAGGTTCTTCAAGAGAAAGTTGGGGAAAAAATGTCATCATGATGGCAATTTTGAAGAGAAAGCAAGAGAACGTTGGATATTTTCAAAGAGTAAAAATGACATCTTAATGGCATTTTCAGAGAAATGTGGTATTTTTTACACAAGATGGCATTTTTTCCGACGACCGGAGCCGGTGGTGCTGGGAGGTAGAGGACGCGTTGGCAGTGACCTGCATATTTTTAAAATATTTTTAAGTATTTTATTTATTATTTTTTATTTTTTCACGTTTTCATTATTATTTTATAAATATTTTATTATTTTTTATATTTTTATTATAAATAAAACTATGATTTTCTTATTAATAAAATAAATCTATTGGAAATTATAGGAAGGGGTAGAATGGGGAAAAAGATATATATTAGTCCTATTTTGGGAATAAAGGGATTATATACTCCTATTGTTGAATTTTAGGCTTATTTTAGTCCTACTAAGGACTATTTTCATTATTAAATTGGTTTTATTTTTTTACCGTCCCTCTTTATTTATCGACACAACTATCTTTTAAAAAAAGAAATATTTTTGAAACATAATCAAACCCTAATATAATCAAAGTTACAAATCCTAACCATCATCAACCAATTACTACTCCCTTTATTCCATTAGAAGGTTTCCATTTTTTTGGACGTCTCATAATTCATAGCTTGTATAAAGATTTTCATTTTTATTTTAGAAAACAATTGACACTCTTAAATGACAAATTAATTATTAAATATTAAAAATAATACATGTATAACACTATTAAATGACCTCATTATATTATATACACATTAAAACTATTTCTCAAAATATATTTGAATTACCTGATTTAACTATTGTCTAAATAACCGTGTCATTTTACGTCGAGAACCTTTAAGCAAGACAAAGGTAGTATATATATAGGGCGGATCAATAAGACTCATAATTAAAAACATCTATTGGTGTTATAATTAAATAGATCAGACCAAACCAGATTAGACATATATTGGACCAGTTTGGACCAGATTAGGCTAAATCATACTTAAATAGATCAGATCAAACCAGATTAGAAAGATTCAGTCAAATTAAAAACATCCTTATTGGTGTTATAATTATAAATTAATACTACATATCTCCTAATAAATTAACTTTTCTCAAATTAATATGTATACTTCAAATTTCAGCTGTGGCCGCCTTATAAATTAATGTTTCTGGATATTAATATAAAAAGTTGCACTTTTATATTCAATAATAATAATAATTATGACCTTATTAATTTATCGTATGATTTATGATTACTAAAAAAATTATACATGCAATGTACATCCCTTCCATACGATATAGTGTAATGGAATATCATAGAATATTATTTATTTAATGGGACATTTGTTTTGTAAAGAATTAGAGCCAAATTTAAAAAGTTACAGTTTTGTATAAGAAATAATAACGAGTGCCTATATAGTACATCCGGGTGTATGTACACCCGGTCCAACTAAGGTAAACAACCCAAAAACTAATACAAGCCAAAATTAATTTGGTGACATTTTTGTAATTTAAGCGAAAAATCATGTCTTCCACTAAATGAGCAATAGTGTACTTTTAATGAGCATCAGACCTATTTTATTAAATATTTAATAGACTAACAATGAGTATCACGATCCCTACTTCATATCTTCCAATTCTTTTTTCTTTTTCTTATTTTTTCTTTTATAAAAACTTATTATATTATATCTATAATACACTCCTATTAATTTTAATATCCGAGTCTAATGTAATATGATACGTTTGAAATATGCATTCATATAACAATTCAAAAATGAGCATAACATCAGTACCAAATGGGCATGCATAACTTACAAAGTGCACATTGATATGAAAATCATAAGGTTTGTTAGTTGAACATCATGACATTTTAATTGAGCTTCAAACATCCGCTATATATTGAGATGAAAATCATGGTTTCTTGTGCATGAGCATTTATGAACTTTTAATGAGCATCAGACCTATTAAAGTGAGCATAAGATCAATACCAGATGAGCATATGTAACTTACAAAATGAGAATTAATGAATTTGTTAGTTGTTTTGTTAGTTGAACATCACGATATTTTCATTGAGCATCAAACCTCTTCTATTGAAATTGATGAAAATCGAGAGTTCTGTTAAATGAGCATTAACGAATTTTTAATGAGCATCAAACCTATACAAATGAGCATATGTATCATGTTTGTGGTCTCGTGTCTATAATCAACATCTATATAAATCTGATGTAATATGAGACTTTTGAAATATGCATTGCTAAAAGATTTTAAAAATGAGCATAATAGAGATACTAAATAAACATACATAATTATTTTTTGTATAACATAAAACTCTTCGTTTAACGTTATATCAATGTACATTTCGTGTAAATATTATACTCATTTAGGTATAACATAAAACTCTTCTTTTACTCATTTTATAATGTTATACCAATGCTCTTTTTTTTTGAAAGTGATGCTCATAAAGGTATAACATAAAAATTGATGGAGTATATGGTCCGGGACACCACGACCCACAGACTCCTGCTTCTTCTACACAAGCCCATCAAGCCCGATGAGCACACAAAGCCCAAACGTAGCGGCCCAAGCATGAAGAAGCCCACGCTGCACTCGTGGATGCTTTCGGCCCTATGGCCGATGGCTCCACATTCTGGGAGACATCTTAATATGGTCCTGCAAAGCTTCTGGAATATCCAAGCTAAAATGTTAGCCTTCAGCCACACGATGCATTCGGCCACCCGATGCCTTCGGCCACCCGATGCCTTCGGCCACCCGATGCCTTCGGCCACCCGATGCCTTCGGCCACACAATGCCTTCTGTCACATGATGCCTTCGGCCACGCAATGCCTTCGGCCACATGATGCCTTCGGTCACACAATGCCTTCGGCCACATAATGCCTTCGGCCACACAATGCCTTCGGCCACATGATGCCTTCGGCCACACGATACCTTCGGCAACAGAATTATCGACGAAGATTCCTTTTAGAGACAGCCAACCACCACTTTTAATACGGCGTCACATCCACCCACCGCATTTAATGCGGTGCACATGCATATGTCGGTGCCACCCCGATTGAGGTGACCCCTTGGCCGTTAGATTGTTGACACGTGTACTCTCATCGCATTTATAGCTGCTATAAATAGCAGCCCTTATTCACCTTGTAAAGGAGACAACAATTCATATGTTGAATACTTACTCTCTCTCTTACTTATTGCTCGGATAAGCTACCCCCGGGTACACTATCCATCATTTGGTGCTCTCGTTGAGAGGTTGAACAATCAAGTAAGAAACCCTCCCCCTCACCTAACGCAAAACACCTATCGAAATGGGAAGAGTGATTCGTGCCCAATCCAAGGCTGAAGCCTCCAACAAAGCCCTCGGGATTGACACTGCCGACGCCTCCAACAATGCTCCCGAAGGCGGAGCCCTCGCCGAAATAATACAAGCCACTTCAGACCTGCCCCTTCAGCTCCAAGAGAATGTTCTCGATGCCTGCCTCGGCATCGAGGCCCAAAGGAAAGATCGGGGTGAGATTCATGTGAGCCCCCTGGTCCTCACCGCCGATATGCAATCGGTCATATTTGCCTTCATCCACACGCTCACCCAGAATCCCAGAGCCTTCGGAACTCTGGTACCGCTCCCGGCCCATGCCAAGGGGAACATCGTCCCCTTCTCTCTACCCCCTCCTCATCCGTT